TAGATATATAATACAAATAGATATTTATTTAATGAAAATCATAGAACTGAAACAAACAAAAATATCACGTATATCTAAGAGTAAAAAGGTTACTTATTCTGAATTCTGATATATGCCTTTGTATTTCTATTAGCTTTGATCAATCTGGCAGAAAATCTGTCGGTATACATTTAATTTAACGAATTTAAACATTCTAAACTTTTGTACTAGACTTTTCTTAGCGTCTACTAAACTAAGCTAAAATACATTTTAACACATATCCGTTGTCTGCTATTAGTTTTTTCTCTTTATTTCTACATTTACATTCTTTTTTTTGTCTAATATAAATATAAAATAGGGCTAATAATAATTAATTTTAAAAATCAGTTTCCGTACAACTTTCGACTAGGGAATAAAGGAAAATAAAAAACCGGAAATGATTTACTTGATTAAACAGACTTACCTTTTATTCTATCGACTTTTACCGGCAACCGGATAAAATTGTCTCCAGCTCAATTACATTATCAATTGAAATTTTCCCACCTACCTTTCAACCTACTCTCCGCCTTCCAACCCCTCCTCCCCCTTCCCTTATCTTCCACTCACTCTTATATAGTTTTCTTTCACTTTATTCACTTCTTTACTTAATTCATTTCTATGCATAGATAAAAGAAAGAAGAAAAACATCTCATTTCCGTTAGTCCGCTAAATTAGACTTATCCGTCCAAGCAAATCTAGTCAAACCGTATAAATGTTGAAAAACAATCCCAAAAAGATTTTGTCAAGAATATCCAGGTCGTTGAAAGCTATTACAATTAGAAAGGAGAAGATGATAGACGTACAGCTAGATAGATAGATGGATAAGTAATTTGATATTTCAACAGTTGTTGAATATTTCATTTTCTATTATAATTTTAAATATTGAACTAGACATTTTTATAGAAGAATAAAAGCGTTTCGTAAAGAATAAGAAACTGCATTATAAATAATTCTATATACCTTTTTTTTCTGTAATATTAACAATTGTTTATTATGTAATAATAAGAAAGATTAGTTACTATTAATCGAAGCATTCTCGTACAGTCAAATAACGCTCTCGGCAAAAGAAAAGAAAAGACCTATACCGCATAAAAAAGAGTAGAAATGAGGGAAAGCGCTACAATGGCTAAAAGTGTGAGAAGGAGCTGCTAGAATATGTTAGGACAGTTTGCGAATGTGTGCTTGGTTTGAAAAGAAGAAAGGATACAGATAGTACGAAGGAAATATTATTTAGAGGGAATAAAAGAAGGGAAATGTTGCTAAATTGATTTGTGAAACCTAGAATAGGCTGCTTTCATTCTCTGACTATATATCTGATAAAAAAAACCTCTTAAGTGTTGCATCATCAAGTGAGAAATTCTAGAAAGAAATGAAAAAAAGAGGTGTATAATAAGGGAATCGTGTATAAATATAGATTAATTTTTAATCGTCTCCTTACAATCAATTAAGTGTAAATTAATTCTCTTTAATGATTTACTAAATTCTCACGAATTTTTACAAAACGTTCAAGGTCATAATTGGAATTTTTTTAACTTTCTTTACCAAGGATATGAGAACCAATGATATAATTTCTCATCTATCAAACCACTACTGATCATACTTTTTTCCATCAACGATGTCAAATTGAATAAAAAGATGACAACGATTTTATTTGTATATTTAGAAAATCGTTTTCTTTTCTTTTTTTTCGTTACTAACAATGCAATTAAATTGACATGGAGAATATCACCTGATTAACAAGATATGCCCTAGAGCACTGCCATAAAATACCACATAGTTCTGTATCGAATGTACACAGCATACCGAACATATGTCACAATACAATTAGATATACAACATATAAATCTACTTTATATGCAGTATATAATATTAATCTATATATATATATTTTTTTGTTACTTTCTCTTTGTAATGTGAAATTAGTTTATCAAAGTTTGAGGACATATTTTTACTTTTAGGAAGCACTTAACCATCAATTAAAATTCTACAGATGAAAAAAAAAACTATTATGTAAGTAAATAAGTAAGTAAGCTAGAAGATAAAATATCATTGATAAATGCTTATTATAGTTTAAAAGTTTAAAAGAACTTTTTTTTTATATAGAAACGAAAAAAATCTGTTAATTAAAACAAACATTTAATATTTATTCATTCTTTAATCTATATTTTATATATATATATTATTTGTACTTAAGAGTTCACCTAAATAAGCTGCTTTGTTTTCCAAATATTCATTATCATTTATCGCACGGATAAAAAAAGGCTTTCGCAACTCTCTTTCTTTCTTTCTCGCTCTCTCTTCTTTTTCCCACCACTCTATAAAATATTATCTTTTTCCTTCATAGCCTTACGTCTAACAGATTACATTTTGTAAAATACATTCTGGATACAAATAGTCATAAAATTTATTAAATTAGTCAAATGAAAGTCAAATTATCTTGTCTTCTTATGCTTATATTAACAGTTAACATATAAATAATTCAATAAGATCACAAATATTAAAAGTAAATAGAAGATATTGTTTATCCTTTGATATGAAATTTTTGAGCTGGTCTACTACGACCATATTTCCATATTATTCGGATAATACAAGGATTTTAACTGGTAAAAAAGAAAATATTTCTCCTTTTTATTGTTTGTCAGGATCGGCAATTCCCATATTAAATATGACGTTCGCAAATAAAAAAAAAAGAGAATTCTATATAAAATTTATAGTACAAAAGCTAAAATTCCCTTTAGAAAGACGTTTTAGCGTTTACTTGAATGTTTTGCCAATGGTTTTTCGTGTTTTTCTTATTTTTTTGGTTATAATTAAATAATATGAATGGGACTATCGTAAAGATTTAAATAAATTGTTAATTAACCATACGAATATCGAATTTGTATTTATTCGTATATAATGAATTGCTAAATGTTTTTCAGACGTGAAGATTCCCAATATATCAAATCTCTTAGAGGAGTTTCGTTAGAACTCTTTCCTACGGTGGTATTAATGCTTTTCGCTCCATCCCGACTTGTAGTATAGCTCCTATCGCTGAAAGACAATCGTGTTAAATTAAAATATTGACCTATTATTCTATACAACCTGCTTAGATCAATTGACCTCTCATCAAGGGCTTTTTCTTCGTAATTATTCATACGATTCAATTCTATACGTTCAACTGGAGTTGTGCTGAAAATATGTAAAATATTTGAAATATCTTATCATCAAGTTTTGTTTGATCATTTCGTTAAGAACAGTACTTTGATTTATCTTCCCGTTTAAGAGCAATCCCAACTAACAAACAGTACGTGTATAGAATGTATGATTATTCCATTGAAGATTACGAATTATCCATTTTGCCTATTCAACAAACGGAGAGCGAGAGAGAGAGAGAGGATAGTAAGTAGCGGTACATAAAGGTATTGCTGCGGAGAGTAAGATAAACAAAGGGGAGAAGAGAAATAGTATCTCGACAATACTTTATGCAGAATTTTTTTAGCGACTAGAGCTACCTAATAACGATAGAGGTGAACGACCTCTATTTCTATTATATCGCTTCATTCATCCTAAAAGTAAAAATTGCCCTAATCATTCGATTGAAATATCTTGTCCAAAAAATAATGAATACAGTCGAAAGAACTGTATCCCTATCCGATTTTGCTCATTTAATGAAGAAACATAAAAACGAAACTAGAGAGGAGCCTCAAGAATAATCTTTCGAGGGATGAAGAGACTTTGTAAAACCTATTTCTTTTGTTTTTTGTCTATAACTCAACTAATCGAAGAGTAAGCTGATTTCAAGAGGATAATAAAAATAGAATTTTATTTTTAATGTCATCTAATAATAACAAAAAATACAGAGAAAAGCATGATAATTCCTGATATAGTTGTCTGATATACAGTTCAGGGATTTTATTTTAAACCTTCTAAGTATGATGGCATCCTTTATAAATAAATTATGTAAATTCTGAACGTTATAGATATATATGGTCTATGCCATTACTTATAGTCCAACGTAATACCGTTCAAGCTTCTATTCGAATAAGAGACAGTTATTCGCTCATTTGGCACCTTAATAACCTTACAGTCCTTCTCTTCTAAAGCGACACTAGATAGCTTAGCGAAAAGTTGCAAAGAAGAGAGAAATTAACAAGAATTGGTAAATCTTATTAGACAGCTGGATGCATATTAGTGTAGTATATTAATTTTAGGTTTTGTTAATAACTTTACGTTGATCTTCTTAATATTAACAGTAACAAACTCCCTTTCTATAATCTAATTAAAAACTTCAATCTATTCTTCCTAAACGGCTAGTATCCTTTCTCTTAATTTATCTTCTTTCTCTTCGCCAGCTATTCCCGTAGAAAATTATCAACTCGATAAAATGACAGATATACAGTATTTCCTAATATGGAAGAGTAATAGGATTAAAAAATTATTCATGAAACATTTTCGTTGAATAATAAAATTCGCATTTCTTATACTTTAAAGTATAAACTGGTAAATACCTTTGGACATTTACATCAAACGATCTAAAAATCGGACAGTAGATTTATAATCTAAATTGCTTATTAACTGGAGCTTTTAGTATACTAATTGCGTATATCCAACTCGATTAGTGTATAATACAAAATTGTAGACTTTATGCATCTCATTTGAAATGATAGACGAATGAATAGTTTTCTATGTAATACTTTAGATTACTTAATCTTACTTAGAATTTACAACAGTTCTCACATTTCTTCACGATCATTTTCGAATCGTTTTACTTTAATAAATCGTGAAAATTATCATAATTATCAGGCTACAACGAGTCTTTTGTACCAACGATAGATGGCGCACGGATATTTAGGATGTATAAAAATATATACAGTATATATATATACATATATGTTACAAGTCTTGAGGCGTTTTTCCATTATAGCTAATTTTTAAAATACGAACAGCACATATATAGAAATATAAGAAATATATCATTTCCCTCTCCCGCTTCCAGTAGGCAGCCATTAATTAAAATTGGTTTGCCACTAAAGAGATAATATTCATATTAAATTTACTTGGAAAAACGTTTTATTTTTGTTGCTTTTCGAAGAAATCAACCTCAGATAAAGCAATAATAAAAAATAAGGGAATAGGAAAGGAGTCATATGACGTTCTAGTTAGGATTGCTTAACAAGCTTCTTTCGATAGTTATCGTTTTTTTTTTATAAATATTCAAGCCATATATTTCAATAAATCAATGATGCAATCATAACTAAATATATCGGAAAGATTTCCATGTGCTGAATATGCAATAACGTTAGTATTCACCTAGAGAATATTTAACGAAATGAATACAAAGGCGGTCAAGGTCCAAGAATCTGGTTAGAGCTTTTATCGCCGATCAATTAAGATGGAAAAGTATTTCTTTTAAAAGAGACTGAAAATAGCCTAGTTCATTGCTTAGTTACCTTTACATCTCTGTTCTTGCATTTTCATAATTGAAAGTTAACAAAAGTCTAGCGGCGTCTAATGGTGAAAATGTATAAAATGTAATTTTTTACCCAACATTCTCTTCTCCCCTTGTACAAAGGCCTAGTACCTTTTCATTAGAAAACTCTTTATGTAAACAAAGTAGAAAATTGTCTCTTCCTAGAAATTATTATCATAGTAAATTAAGAGAAAATTACCTCTTTGGTGAAATTTTCATATTGTTGATGTAACATGCCATCACGATTAGAATGATAAGTAAAAGGGCTAAAACTGCGGCGCATCCAATCACTAAACCAAGTATTAGCTGCAAAAATTTAAAAATTACAGGTACAGTGTTTATTCATTCAATTTCTTATTGTTTTTGTTCTTGTAAATTTTCATTTTGAAAGAAATTCTTGACTGATTGAATTTATAAAGAAAATGAAACAAACTTTTCCTTCGGTAGTCGACAGAAAGTTGGGATTTTTTGTTGTTTCTACTTTGGAATTTGTGGCGCCCTCTGTTGCCTTGGTTGTTCTCTTTCTAGTGACATCAGTACTACTAACTGTTTCCGTCGTAGCGGTAGTAGGATTTTCAGTGGATTGTGATGATAAAACCTAAACATGCAAATTAGGATGTATAGTGTTCAGTTGGGATGAACTGAGGATTTGTTAAACACACACACACACACACACACTCTCTCTCTCTCTCTCTCTCTCCAAACACCATCCCTTCTCCCTCACTTTGGTCAATAACTCACTGTAATTGTAAGATTGGATTGAACGTGGTTGCAACCATCTGATAGGCTTAAATCATAGTTGTAGACCCCAGACGAACCGAGCAAATTAGCCATCACTACTATCTCTCCAGTGGTTAAGTTGATATTTATTTTCGCCGTAGGGACTGAGGTGACGTTCAGAGTTAACGTCTCCAGGGAATTGTCATCTTTCCAACGTAAAGTGTGCAACAAACTTCCGGTAGTCTCATTATCGTAGATTGTCAATTCCCTTAAATTGGTGAACTCTGGTAAAGCTCCTGGACCAACTAACAATCTAATATAATAATCCAATGGTCCATCTGCCGCCAACCCGGAAGAAGCATTGAATTGCATTCCAACAACTGGATTTGTTACTGCAGTCCAAGGAACTTGATAATAGTCACTTCCGCAATGAGTGCAGATGTTAGAATGATAGACTGTTGGTCCAGTATCTGGTAACCAACCGTAGACATCGCCCGGTTTAATGGGAATTTGCTGATTGGGTTTAGATTCAAAATCAACTACGTATTCGTCATCGGCATTTAATGGTGAATCGGCAACTATGAAAACCAAAAGAAAACAAAACAAAACAAAATGTACGTGCCCATACTTATAATCGATTTTAAATAGAAAATATCACAAGGACAAACTAAAAGCTACAGACCTACTTCGGTATTTTGTCCAATTAATTGAAATTTGTCAGCGTTTCCACTCTCCCTCCATATTTGAAATCGTACAAGGTCGACTTTTTCGTTGGCGATTAACCATTTCTTTACCACACCACAGCAATCGATCTTCCAAGGAGGTTCATTTATGATAACAACTTTAATAATTATTTTATTAAAACGTTTAAAAGTTTGTTTGTTTGTTTGTTTGTTTGTAAAAATTAATTAAAACTAACGACTTCGAGCTCCAGCCGCTAATTTCCCATTGCCAACGAAAGGCTTAGGGAAAAGATTGGGGTTGCCGATCTTCTTGTTATCTTGACAAACTAAATCGTCAGAAGGAAACTATTAAGAAGCCAACAATGTAATTCCAAGAATATTTACCTTGATTTTCGGATAATTCTATTAAGAAAAATATGATAAGTATCCCAAGCATAACGCCGTGACGAGCTAACTTATTGGACTGATTCTAAAAAACGTTTTGGCACGTTTACACTTTAAAAACCATGCATTTAAACGACTTTAAAATGTGTTTTCGCTCTTTTCATTCAGTATTTGTTTGCTAACAATTCTTGATTAAACGTTTGATTACGTGCAAGAATAAAACATAAGTTGAGGAATTAGAGGGAATTCTATGATATTTTACGCTTTTCTTCTATTTTTAAACAATCGCTCATTAGTCACCTGAATTAGGTGTATTCTTTGTTTTTTTCCCTTTCAGTCTTATTGCCCAATATACAAATATAAATATATGTTTAGCGTACGTCTCCTCCTCCTTCTTCTTCTTCTTCTTCTCACCTTATCTGTATTTCATTGATTGTACCATGAATTTAAATATACATATACATTTTGTTTGTACTATTTTCAACTTTGTGATATTTGCCAAGTGTTAATTACCTACTCTTTGTAGAGAGACAATCGAGTGCTTCTACAATCCTTTGTTTTCTCAGTTTTTTTTAAACTTGTTTATTCTCTTCACTAGGAGAAAACATTCAACATTCTTAACAATATATCACATAGATAACGATAGAGAGAATGGAACAGATAGATGTATAGATATAGATAGGAAAGTGAGAGAGAGAGAGAGAGAGAGAGACAGAGAGACAGAGACAGAGAGACGACAGAGAGAGAGAGAGATAAGTTGATGGATAGATAGATAGATAAGTAGGTAGATAGATAAGTAGACGGATGGGTAGATGGATCGTTGGATGGATGGATGGATGGATGGATAGATGGATAGATAGATAGATTAGATGAATAAATAGGTAGACTGACAACTTATTGTTAAATATTCATATGATTTCAACTTAAGGTTAAACAATAACGAATCATATCATATACTTTGTGTATGTTGCTTATAAAATCACTTGTTCATCTATTATTAATTCTCTATATCAATGCCTCAGTAAAGATTAACTTCAAAGTAATATCTCTTGTTAAATTGAACCTATATTTAGGGGTTAAAAACTAGCCATTAGCAAGTTTTTTTCCCATAATAGGGTTAATTAGTTAGAAGGTGATAAATGGTTTAGTTTATTAATCCTCAACCCCCGTTTCTATATTCGTTCTATCATAGGCGTCATTAATACGAATTGTTATTTAAATATGAAAACACAATGGCGCAGCTAGTTGCAATTATAAGAGAACGTTCAGTAAGATTTAGTTAACTTAATAGCGATTAATCTAATCGACGTAATATTATTTGATAAGCCAAGTTATTAGCGTAGGCCTAACATTCTTGCTATAAATAGTTTATGAAAGGTTTAAATGTATAAATTTAAATATCAATTTACATTAACAATAATCTCCTAAGGGAAAAAGATTTCAGGTAGTTCTCGTTAAAACTGTACGGACGTTTGTCTACTTCTCCACCGAGACAACAGCTAAAGAGAAAAGGGCGGGCGGCGGAGAGAATGCAAAGAAAGATATATCTTCAAAAGAATTTGTGAAGAAAATGGAAAATCCCTAGTAGGTGGGAGGAAAAAGAGAGGAACAACAAAGATTTTTCCGTTATAATTGGTCATTCGAAAGAAAAAAGAGGTTGACGGATCATAAAAAAAAGGATTATCCTATTATGTATAATTAGCCGACAAATGCGGAAAAATTATATTGCACTCCATCAAATAACTTCGTCTAACCACCTTCCATCAGGAATTATGAACGATTTTAAACATCTTACAATTGTCTTCCTCTTCGTTTTCCTATCTGTTAATCTTAGCTTCCAAGGTGAAAACGATTATAATATTACTATTTCCATTGCACATGTTACATATCTTCTTTCGAATAGATTGCAGATTTCAAGAGATTGGAGGGAAAATACTGCAAGGAAGTGACCCAGAATTTGACGAGGTGTCTTATAGCGTCGAGGAATGTAAACAACTATGCGCTAATGAAACAAAATTCGAATGCAGGTAATTAAAAGCTGTATAATTGCTCTTTATTCACTGCGTTATTGATTTTATCGCATTAAAAGATCATTGAGCTACTCTACAATGAGAACATGTCGCCTTTACAAGAGTACAAAAGATTTAAAAATGTCCTACTTGAAGGACAATAAGCAGTGGACATACTTCGAGAAGGTTTGCGGTAAGTATCATTTTATAAAGTTACCTTCATGGACAATAAACGCGAGTTCTTTCTCTGAAAGATTGCAAGTTCATTGAATTTAAAGATAAGGTTCTGCCAAAAACTTTCAACGGCCTAATACACGCGTCTTACATGGAGGATTGTAGGACTGCTTGTTTAACTGAGAAGAAGTTTCCATGCAGGTAATATGAATTTATAATTAATTAAACATTTAGCTAATAATTTAAAAACTTAATAAAATCAGTAAAGTTTATTTAAAAAAAAAATGCTTTTACTTCATTTCCAGATCATTCGACTTTTCTCCGAATGAGAGAGAGTGTTTCCTTAACACAGAAACTCAATCTGTCGAGAATCCTCTATATGATTTTAAAGGGTATTCTCATTACGAGAAAGATTGTGGAGTATATATTTATTGAGGTAACACTCAAATTGCTAAGTAAACGAAGATATTACCGCTTTTCAGCTTTTCAAAAGAATTTTCAATAAAAGTGAGAAATATAGATAAATTTTCATGTTCAATAATTGTTATACATGCTGTAATTCTTTAAGGATGATCATACTCTCTTCAAAATCTACATCTTAGATACTTTTTCATTATCACTGAAGAAATCATCAATTATCTAAATATGAAAAATAGTCTAATACTGCATTTAAAGCTCTTTCTCTCTCTTACACTTTTTTTGATGTGATAACAACTTCGCTTTCTAGTTATCATCTAATGCCAATAAATAAATTCTATTGCTTGATTTAAGTCAATTATTCTATTATCTTACATATAATTATACACATAATTAAGGCTAATTATCATTCCAGATTAATAGTGAGATAATTCGGTTTCTCAACTCATTATTCCATAAAAAAACAGGATAAAAAATTCCTTAAATTGTTGTACGTCAAACTGAAATATAAATCAAAGATTTCTCTTTTAATCCAGATAGCTGTTAAATACTTATAAAGTAGTTGTAAGAAATTGATAAGATATATATACTTTTCTTTTCGCTGTTATAAAAAGTCCTATTGGTTCCATTTTATTTCAAAATTTAACGTAATCCGTGTACAGTTTGCTTTTTTTTGCTTATTCAAACCAACAGAATAAAGTTTGAACAAGCAAGAAATGAAAAGCTCACACTATTTCATCAAAAATTTTCGTTCGACATTTTGACTAATTGAACAAGCTGCTAAATAGAAAAACGAAGTACAGTGGATTTTTTATACCCATATACAAATTTTGACTTATAAGTATAATAGATATAAATATATAAATATATGTAAGTAAACAATGTAACAATGACCGATATCAGTTCCCAAATGAAATAACACCAATATTTTGTGTTAAAACTCCAAAATCTAATACCATCAGAAATATTTGTAATAGATATATATTTAGGTAAATAAAATTGAATACTTTATAACCGAAGACGATTTCTATCGTTGTGAAGACTTGTTTACGAATTACAATAAATAGATTGTATTTGAAAACAACTGCAACAGTCGCAATATCTGGAAAGCTATGTAATATGTATATATTTATATATAAATATATATATATATATATATGTTTTTTATATATAAATATATATATATATTTGTATATATATATGTATGTATATATATAATGAATATGTGAAATATATATATATATATATCTCTTTTTTATATACATACATATATATAATCTATATACAGCATCAATACATTAATTCAAATATTTAATAGTCACATTTCTTACGGATCAATAGTCTTATGTCTATAGAAATATTAACATGATAATGTGAAAAAAAACATGGAAAAGTCATTCGATTATCGCATGTAAGCACAGCTTTTGTACAACGAACAACTTTCATATAAAAAGAACAGAATAATCAAAACCGCAAAACGAACAAACCGCATTTATATGATCGTATAAAAAACCGTCCTTTTTTATTAATTAAAAAATTATTCTACAAATGATCCACGTACCGTTGCAGTTGATCCTGCGGTGAAATTTCTTGTTCAGCGCCGTTACTTTGCTGATTGCTCGGCTGTCGATTCAGCCATTGTCTTTGATCAGCACTTGGTTGCTGCGTGGCTTGCTGCATTACCGTCGTTGTTACGCAACTATTTGATGGAGCACTTTGATTGACTACTTGTTGTTGCTGCTGCTGCTGTTGCTGTTGTTGCTGTTGTTGAGCAGCTGCAGCGGCGGCGGCAGCATTCGGATTTTGGCCATGCCCTCTCTGAAAAAATGAATGTTGTTTTACTACTGATTATCTCAATAATTATTTATTAAACTTACCTGCTTGATAAATGCAGTCATTAATTGGGGATTCGATTTAAGTATCTTTAATACTTCTGCCTGCTGCTGAGGGCTACTAGGCGATTTCAATGTTTGCAATAATTGAGCCAGGGCTTGCTGTGGAATGTTGTGCCTTGGAGGTTGTGGCATCCTCGTATGTTGCGCTTGAGGTATAGTCGCATTTGGAGGACCGACGTGTTGTTGATGCTGCGGCTGTTGTTGCGGCTGCTGTGGAGGCTGATAACCCACCCAGCCATGAGTGCTAATTGACGGCAAGGCTGTCCTCAACTGATTTGGCTGTTGAGAATTGATCATAGGTTTCCCTGCGTTCATTTGGTTCTGTGATATAACTTGTTGATGCACCGCTCTAGGCATATTATTATGATTTGGGATTACAGGTTTACCAACGGCTGGGCTTTGACTAGGTTGGGGAGGGGGTGCTGGCGGAGGAGGAGGTTGTATTGTTCTAGGAGTCTGATTCTGATTCTGCATTTGCATGGCTGCCATACGCCTCCTCATCATATGATCTTGTTGGAACCTAGCTTGCTGCTGCTGTTGTTTTAATTTCTGCTTGATATTCAAACAGAAAGGCACAGGACATTTGCTTTCCGAGCAATGTTTGGCATGATAGCAACATAAAGCTATCAACTGCTTGCAGATAGGGCATCCTCCATTCTGTTTTCTCTTACAGCTCTTTGTATGCATAACAACTCTCTTCATCTTCTGACAGCTTTGCAGTCTACAATTAGCATCGCGACACATACAAGCATGAACCAGGGATTGTATGCACCTTTGAATCGACATTCGCCTGTTCTCGGCTGGATTATCCTTATTGTCATTATTGCTGCTATCCGAATCGTCGAAGTTGAAGCTTAACTTCTCCATCTTATGTTCAGCGTGTACCTTCTTCTCATAACAAACTTTACATAAATCAAAGTCTTCGCAGACCGTACAATGATAACGAGTGTCGACTTGATCTTTGCAATTATTACAGGTATAAACAAAAGAGTTACCCTGGTTGTGCAAATCATGCAGTAAAGCTAATGTTGAATATTTAGCTCGCCGTAAACTTGAAAATTCGTGATGTTTCTCTCTAGCTGAAGTTAAGAATGCATCACGTCCATCCATGATATCACACGGAATTAAAGAATCAGGATCAACAATTGGAGGAAGAGATTGCGCCACATGAGCAGAATGTAAACGAATAACAAAAAATACTTCTTTATGTTTTTCCATTGTGGCAAATAATTTTGCTGTTAGATCATTTCCACCATGAGCTAATGGCGCTTTCTTCGAATTTTTTCTTTGATTACTCTTAGTCTTATTTAATTTTTTAGATCTGTTTTGGCCTTTCTTCTTACCTGTCGCTTTACCGCTATCCATACCATCCGGATCAGTTTCAAATATTTCTGTTGAATCTTCCTCTTCTTTTATGGCTTCTTCTTCTTCTTTCCTTTTCCTCTTTTCTTCTTCTTCAGTTTCAAGTTCTTTAATACAATCTTCCAGTACGTTCGGCCAGAAATCTCCATCAAAATATGGCAGCTCAGTAGCTGAGGTTAACCCTGTCTCTATAGCATCTTTATAGATATCCTTATAGTCCAGTACTACTCTTTCAACAACGGCTTTATCCAGCATCTTCTTATACCAATCCTGCAGTCTTTTTGGTTTCGGAATTTTTTGTTCAGGCGGATGACAATGGAAAATGTAATCATCGCCCTCAGATGGTGGGCACGCCCAAATATGAGCTGTTGTATATCCCAAAGATTTCACATAGTCCAAGTAACCAATCAGCATTTCATGATAAACGGAAGTTCTAAATGCTTTAGGTTGAAAAAAGTGCACAGAATCTAAATAAGCGATATACACCCTCCTCTTGTTGGGTGATGGACATTCGGAGCCATATTCCTGGACATGCATTCCGAAGAAGCATACGTCAACACCATCAATATCCTCAAAAGCAAACATTGCCTTAGTTTTATAAGGAAAAGTCTCAGGCATATTCGTAAATCGACTTTTCATTAGAGGCTTTACTTCGACAGTTTTATCCGAACTAGCAAGAACTCTTATCGTAACCTCACCAGCTCCAGCATCTTTATTCTTAAGGAAAGAATTAATTCGATTTTCTAAATACGTACCCAATTTCGTATTAGGTAAACGTTTAGCAGAGAATCGATTGTCTTTAAGTTTCTTCTCGGGAGCTCTCTTTTGACACAATTCACAGCTAAATTGTTTATTAATTGGCTCTAGATATAGGGCGCAAATCTGATGCCATTTTCTACCGCATCCTTCGCAATGTACAAAAGGTTCCGGTTCCAAGACATTATTCTTTTCGCGCTTAAATTTGGTTTTTGGAATGACACTTGGCGGAGCTGTTGGATCTTCATTGAGCTCAACTTCGTCTGATTTTATGTCATTGAAGCATTTTTCACAATAAACGTATCTGAAAAAAAATAAAAATTTTTATCTTTTTATAAGTAAACTATAAGAAATAATCATTATTTAAAAATTTCCTTATTCTAAAATATACCGATTCATTGGTAACTTAAGCATTGTCTCTAAATCAATCTGCCTTAAATGCACTTTAGATTACATTTTGTACTTATAAAGTCAAAAAAAAAATAAAAAAGAAAAACTTAAATTTCTTAACTAACCTATTTTCATATGAGAAATACGTAGCATCTCTAGGAATAGTACACATTGGCTTTCCATAGCAACATAAAACTTGCGGATGATATTCATATTTTCGACCGCAGCAATAACCTAACGAGTGCATGACTTCATCAATTTCCTGAGTGAATACTTCTGCCAGTTTGTTACAGTATTTATACACTCGTGAAGTCTTTCTATTATATAACCAAGCGTTTTCTAACATGAGCCAAATATCTTCACAAAACTGCCAAGGATCTTCGAATTGGCCATTTACAAGTTTTCGCCTGATTGTTGATAAATCCATTGGCTTTTTTATTATATCAAAGTAGTCCTGAAAATATTATGCATTTATCAACCGCATTCTTTTAAAAAATATTTCAATCTTACCGGAATCTGCAGGATTATGGGATCAACAGGTTGCCTAAAAGGCATAGACTCAGGTTCTAGATAATATAATTTTTCTAGAACAGGTTTAAGAGCCTGATGAAGTTCGTCTGGACTAAATACAATCTTTTTGACTTCTTTAGGTTGATTCGATGTACGAACAATTTCCGTAGATCCGGAAGGTTCATTTGGTGATTTTGTAGCTGGAGCTGTTGTGGTAGTTGTTGTTGTTGTTGTTGTTTCCTCCTTTTCAGTCTTTATTATAGTCTCTTTTTTAATTCCCTCATCAGATATTGGGCCATTCGGGGTCTCCATTTCTGATCTTAATATTTCATTATCAATGGGCTCTTGCTTTATTGGCTCTTGCTTTATTAGTTCATTTGTTTCAACTATGAGAAGAGTTCAATGTTAGTATTTCAAGTTTACATGATTATGAAATATTTTCAAACCTTGAGGTATATTTGAATCTGTAGGTTGTTGCACTGACGGTAAATTCGGTGGATTAGGTGGATTCATAACCGGTATGGACCTATAGGGTGGGAGTGAGGGTGGTTGGCCAGCTAATACATTTGGAGCCACCCCTATTCGTCCCGGTACAACATTTGCTGGCGCACCTGGATTGGACGTAGCCGGCCCACTAGGTTGGCTGCGTTTCATCCGCTTTTCTTCTAATTCTTTTTGAATTTTATATATTTTTTCAGCAAGAAGATGATAATATTCTTCCCTAGAATTTGCTGAATCGTACATGTCACTTTCAACCTGCAATTTAAACAAAAATAAGTACTTTGTTTAGAAAGAGTTATTGCAATGTTAAATCATCACTACCTTCCTCGCATAATCAACTAGATTTTTCATTCTTTTATCCCTGTAAGCAGCAGGATCTGGTGCTGGAAATATAGCCTGTACTAATTTGTGTACAAGATGATTCCGCAAATCTTGTTTCACATGAACATGCCATTCTTTTGTTGGCACGTTTTGACCAGCCACAATACCCGTATCCGATTGAACAGGTTCTTGCTGCAGTTGACTCGAGATCAAACCAATGTTACTTTGCTTAATCTGGCGTTTTTCAGGAGATAGCATGACACTATTTGTCGGCTGAGCGACTGTTGTCGTTTGACTAACAGAGGCAGGTGTTGGTTCCGGGATTCCTAGGGCTTTATAAGCCCTAGCAGCGTTATTCTCGACTACTGTATTAGCTGTTGTCACCTGTGGAAAGTGTTTATAAATTTAAAATATTGAAATAATGTATAAATATATATGCTATAATTAAAATCGAAAAAACATTTTACAAACCTGTTGTCCATTAGTCGCTTGTGTAATTGGTTTATGTTTTTCATTTGCCGTTTTCAAAGGCAAGCAAACAGGACAATCGGGTCTCGTACAATTTTTCCAATGCGATATTATTTGTCTTGAACTTGCACAATGAGCAACTTGACAAGCTTTCCCAGCACTACACTGTGTCATATGATTTAAAACATTTTTCATGGTCTTGCAGTGTGGAAGGGTACATTGCGATGCTCCGTTATTTTGTTCTCTCCTTTGACATTTATGAGCGTGAAGAAGAAGAACTAATTGCTGCTGGATTAGCTTTCGCTTCTCCGGATCAGCTACTGTTCCTGGGGTTGTCGCTGCAGCTGCGGCTGCCGTCGTTGTTGCAGTGGCTGGTGGTAGTGTTGGAGATGGCTGCGGTAGACTCGATGAAATCGTATATTGCTGCTGGGGTTGGCTTAGGCTAGGCATCGTTGAAACGACGGATATGAGTTGCGGCTAAAAAAATTAAAATCATGTAAATTATAATGCATAACGAATGTTAATAACAAATGAGATATATGGTGTAAAAATTATATTGCTTGTCTTAAGGCAGGTGAAAGAGCTTTACAAAAGAAAATTAAAATCTAACATAATTTTTTCAAGCAAGAATGAATGCATTTAATTCTCCAAAAGTTTTGGTCCTAGTTTAAGCAACAAATAAATCAATGATTTCTATCATTAAACAATCATTTTAAAAGCTGATGAAATCATGGCATTTTTTTTTACGTACTTGCAAAACATCAGGTGCATATGTATAATTTTCTATAACCTTCTGCAAAATTGTTAAATTAACGGTTGTTATTGTTTAATATAACTGAGATACTTGAATTTAATTTGGCATTTTCAACTTGGAAAGTTATTCACAAAAGCATTGATTTTAATTTTAAGTTTTTCATTTCTTATTTTGTTGAAAAGTTCATTTAGAAAAACAATACATACCGTAGAATGAGTTGGTTGCATATGCTGCGACAATCCGATCATTTGTCCACCTGAATTTCCTGGTGTCATTCGGGGATGCTGGGGTTGAGGTGTAGATAAACGCGACTGCATCATAGGTGATTGTGGAATTGTATGTCTCTGTTGCATCATTCCTCCAATTTGCTGTTGGGGTTGCTGTGCTTGCTGCGGCTGTTGGGGCATATTCGGGCCGTTCATCATGGCTCTCTGATTTCCTATCTGATTTTGCCCCTGTTGGATGCCATGGACCATTCCAGTAGGTCGCTGTGGCATCATACCATGTTGCATTGGGCCATTCATTATGGCTCTCTGACCTTGGCCGGTAGCTCCAGGTCCAATTGATCGTAGGACATTACTAATACTAACATTAGGAGGAGTCGCGCAGTTCCCGGGCGCCAACAAGTCCGGCAGGCTTGTTGGTGTTCCACTGCGCGGGTTTGTCTGCAATTGGATTTGAGGTGTTGACGTAGCAAGATTGGAATTGTTCTGTATAGGTAGTGTGGAACTGCAAATGGTTGCCGTTGAATTAGTGCTAAGAAGAGAAGATAAGTTAGGATTTCCATTGACAGCGTTTGTAAGTTCTAATTCGTCCGGCACATCTTTGAGTATTTCCATTAAATCTGTGATAAGTTATAATAAATGAAATATTCATTGAATAATTTACGTTTATGTTTTAATATACTATAATACTAATTCACTATTACTACAGTAAATATTATCATAACTTAAATTTTCATTCATAAAGACAGATTTGTTTTAATCCTCCTTTCTATTACATTATTAAATATTAACAACTTTTTTCCTTAGAAGAAGTAATTGTGCAAGAACTGTTGACTTTATATCTGATGTGACAAGATTTTTAAATGCTTGTGTCTAGACTATTTAGTAAATGTTAAGCATTGTAACGAATTGCCGAAACAGAAAATAAATGTACATAATCGAAATGTTCACTAAGGCGAATTTATGAGGGGCAGAAATACTTGTTTTAGATTGAGGATTAATCAAATAAACCAGAATAACGGTTAATACAATCCATTTTTTATAAGTCCAAGTCTACATAGTGTTGACTAAATATAGCAGGATGAAGAACAAGATATCTTGGCCCAATGAAATAGAAACCTTCTTAAGAATTTTGTTACATATTAGAGGTTTTAAGAGAAAAAAATGTTTCAGATGAGAGGCCGGTTTGAAAATTTAAGTAGCAAAGTGACTGTTATCGAGGTAAAAACATCCGATTTCCCATCCCTAATCGGTCATAGGGTATTTTTTAATTTCTAGTTTATATGCTTTAAGTTCTGGTGAAAGAAATCTAAAAATTCCATGGATTTAAGAGGAAAATATTAAGAAATAACCGACGAAAGAGGTCACGCCTCCCCGCCTACGATGTAAACAAACTGATTTACTACAAAATTAGAAAAATAATACATAAACTATTGTTTGCATTCGTAAAATAATTTAGCTTTTAATCAAACTTACTCGTTCCATCACCACCAGCCGCAGAAGGAGAGTTAATTTTCTGTCTCTTAGCTGGCGGACCCTCGTGACCGTCCGCCATTTTCTAATAGAATATATAAGGCTCAATAAAACCTGCCAAAAAAAACGTCCAAAACGTAATTCCTTATCAACCAAATTTCCCAAATCGCTTTTTAAACTTGTCATGTACCATTCGATAACCGATTATCGATTTCTGAACATTTTTAGGACGTCTTTGAATTTTTCGCAATTTTCAGATATCGAAATATAGTCGAATTTCGACAGCTAATCGCTTCGTTAATCTGCGGTTAATCCAGGTAATCCCAGCCTTATATTATTCTTCGAGGTTAACTTTGTAATTGAACATCAAAAAATTGCAGATAAGTTGCCAGGTTGATGGTGAATTTTGCAGCCAAAAATCACCTTTTTCCGAGCCGTTCTGCCAATATGGCGACTGCGAAAGAGTGTGACGAGTGACGGAAATAGCCGAGCAGGGAAGTTCACGTCACGTGACCTGTGACGACTGAAAATCAACAATTTTGATTGGTCGCATTTTCGGAATAACCTTTGCCGAGAAAAACCGACTTTTAATTAGGCTTCATATCATGGGATACGTACGTAGTAGAAATTTTGCGGGAAATACAAAAGTCTATTTTAAACTGGTTTTTGGTCATAAAATTTTACTTTTTAAAATGGTTAATAATATTTAATAATATTTTTAACCATTTTATTTTCTTTTCGAGCGTAAAAACTAATTTTTTACATTATTTTCATATTTATATAACAAAGATATAGCCAAGTAGAATGAGTTTTATTTTTCAACTAAGCATTTTCAACTTAACAACAGATAAAATTTTCAAAAATTGTACAAACTATATATATCTATATATTTCTTATTCTTTCTCGATTTTTAATCGTGTAATAGGTTAGAAAAATCCGACTTTGAAACATATTAGTGACACACACTAGATGTCGCTTTAAAAATGACTGTTAATAGATGGCGTTAATCGCAAAGTCATGAAACTTGGAAAGATAGAGATGAAAATATTCGTAAACGGTAAATAATTATGAAGAATTATGAAACTTTAATTAAATTTCTTTCTATTATTCAACTTTTCAATTGACGAAATTTTCATATTTCTTCAAAATGCTTTACTAATAGTCCTAACATTGAATCCTATTTCTCCTTCCTCCTTCAATAACCACCGATTACGTCAGAAATTTTCATTTTGAAAAAACTTCCACACTAAATTAATCAATTTCTCCTTACACTTTCTAAAATCTCTACACGTTTTATCTAAATATGATTCCCAAACAATAAAAGAGACCTAAACACCGTCTAAAGTTGTCGTTTGTTTATTAATTTATTTATTTTTTTTGGAACTAAATTTTTTATAACGATAGTAACTCCATCTGAAGTATACTCGCAAAAATATTGGGCTAGTTCTCTCGATCGAATCGAATTTTTAAGTATCAGTGGATAAAATCTGAAATTAACATTTTAGATGGCGCCGCAGTACCAGTAATACTATATTACAAAACTCTCGCCTCTTACCTTTTATATTTTAAATTCTCACTAGAATTTTTCTAATCATTCGAGGGAGGCTTGCACTTGAAAAAGTCGTTATCTGTCTCTCTCTTCTCTGGTTAAATAACATAGACTTCTTCTTTTCCTATTATTAGCATTTTATAACTTACAATTTAATGACATTTTGTTATATATCTTAATTGGTAAAGTTTAGAAATGAGAGACGCTACTTACTTCCTGATGTCATTTGACAGACGAGATTCAGTATACAGATTTAAGAAGAGTTTCTACAATTGTTCGTGTAATCTAATAGTGTCTATAGAATTAGTAAGGATACATATTTATATCTTTTAATACTTGAAACTCTTTAGAGGTGTTGATAGGTTATTTTTCTCTAGTCCAATATTATCTTATCTGTTATTAATTCAAAAATTCTTATTCATTTATTAACCTACTTATTTATAATCGTAATCGGTTGATCTATTTCATTTGGAAACGATTCTTTTTTGACAGTTGTACAGTATTCTTTCTTCTTTCTTCTTCTTCTTATTAAGACTTTGTCTCTCTTTCATATATGTTTAAAGTTACGCTCTTCCATTTCTTTCCTTTAAAGTTTAACAATAAACCATCTTTACTATACATATTGTCATTGTGTTTGTATTATATATACAGTTCCTTTTTGTTTAGCACTTAGGAGAGGATAATATAATTTTCTAAACAATTCTATAATAAAAAACAAAAGAAAGTTTTAATAAGGGATTATTTTTAGTGGAATAAGAATTATATGAATATATTATATACAATATAAGGAAATAATATCGGCTATAATTGATATTTTCTCCTTGCTTATCTACTTATTGATAGAACGGGTGAGAAGGTAACAGGTAATAGAATCTCGACTACCTTGACCTTGGCTTTATTATGGTCCAAACATATGGAATATGCTTTTTAGGGAGAAAAAATCAGATGCGAAGAAGATTATTCGCTTTCACGATAGACAAGTGACTGAAAGGTGGGGGTGTACACGGGAAAAGGAAAGTAACCAGGCGTAGTCGGTAATCACGGCTTGATAAACAAGAAACGATTACGATTTTCTCTTTGCCATCTTTGACAAAATGGCCTTGCAAACTGGGAGGCGCTGAGATCGTTGATAGCCGCTTACAGAGATATTTCACGAGTAGAAAAATCTCTCGTCGATTTTTTTAGCCTGGTTTTTTTTATTGGTAACAATTTGATATTAATGATAGAGGGAGGTTGAGGGTAACTTTATTAAGATGCTATCATGAATGGATTATAACCCTGTAGATGGAGTTTAAAAAATCTCAGCGCCATCTAACGGTGAAAAGGAGCATAAAGAAGTCGCCACCTTTGTTTTTCTTTTACAGAAAATAAAGGAAAGAAAAGTTGATTTTATTCTCGTTGCTTAGTGCTTTTCAAGCGAAATGGACGTATTAAAGGAATTACCGTGGGAATTATATAATTTTTTATTGAATCAAAGTATTTCTACATTCGCCCAAATAGCACCAATCGTCTATATTACATTTGTGGAAAAAAGCAAATAATTCACTATAAATAATAGTAGTACTGCCTCATTATCTCAGACAGCCCGTTTTCTAGTCAGCGCCAAGTTTTTATTGCCGTTCAGAGCCGGCTGCCTGTTTACCGGCGCCGGCAACATCAAAGTTCTGACGTCATTTTATGACCGTCGGTCAGATTAAAGTGGCGCAATGCGCGTTTCGCCTTTTACGCCAAATTTTCAACTCGATAAATCGATTGTTTCATTCGGCCCCGCTAATTTTTATTTATTTTTCCTAAAAGTTTAATCTAATTTTGCATATATTTTAACTGTAACAATACATTTTATAAACTTATTCAAATTGCATTTAAAATGATTTCCTTTCTTTGGCACGTCATGTAGGATATAAAAAATGAATAAAAGTTGGCGCATGTTTTTTTTTTTAGTCGTGTAGACCAGTAAAATTGAAATGAAAAGAAAAAGACTTTTAAGAGAAAATATATGATCCTCTTAATTTCTTAAGGATCTTTTGTTAAGTGATGAGCATTGGCAAATTGTTTGATTAGGTCTAAATTGCTTTATTTCAATAACGATCAAACAATTTCCTTTCATAAAATAAATCCATTTTCTTCCCTCTAACTCCCTAAAAGCTCTTATTTTTGTTCATACTTGAAATTCATTAATGAATATACCAATCTCTTTTATTTTCTATTCATTTTAAGAAATTAAATACTATATATATATATATATATATATATATATAAGTGGGTATACATATGTATATATTGATAGAAATAATCAAAAAAGAGTAATGTTATTTTCGTATATTTCCATACTTTTTCCCTATACATGCGGCAAGATAAGGCATAGCATCAAACATGCATATATTTATAAACATTACCGTAAGAGTAACAAAAAAAATTAGGCTTGGAGAAAAAAAAAAGAAAAAAAAACAATATAAAGAAAAAAATCTGCAAATAAAAAAAAAAAAAAACAATCACCCACCGCCCATTTCTTTCTTTAATAATATAATAGTAATAATTATAATTGTAATAATAATAGTAAAAGTAGTATTTACAATTCCCTTGAACGAACAAAACAAAACCGAATTACCCCGAAATCACGGACGACAAAAAAGATATGACTGTTATTATTTGCATTCATTATATATATATATATATATATATATATATATATATATATATATATATATATATATACACTCTTATACATACTTATATCATTTAGATATGTATATGAATATACAAATAATACTTTCTTCCTACACATGAAAATACAGTATATATGACTTTATTGTACATTTTTTTTAACGGATTTCTTTGATTTTTTGTATATATTATAAAATTTTATGGGGAAAAGAAAAAAAGAGACAGAGAGAGATAGAGATAGAAGAAAAATGATTGAAAGCGAAGTGATCATATATACTGTATGTACATGTTAAATTTTTTAAACGGATACTCATGTAGGCAGTAAAAAAACAAACGAAAAATCGTCAGCACCTAGTGATTGTTAATGAGTGGGCGGTGGCGGTAAGTGTGAGGCGGTGGGAGGTAATTTTGGACCGCTCTTCAAGCCCTCTTCTCTTTTCTTGTTCTGCTTGCGCTCCTTAGCGCGTCGGTTTTGGAACCAAATTTTGACTTGGCGTTCGGAGAGATTTAATTCTCGGGCTAATTCCGATTTTCGGCGGATGGTAATGTAGCGACTGTAATGGAATTCCTTCTCCAATTCGAGGCGCTGATGATCACTGTAGACTACACGATATTTGTCTTTTGTTCTTGTTTTTCCTGCAGAAAGGATGAGAACAGTTGAATTATTTTCATTATTTAATAAATAAAATTAAGTAAAATATAGAGTCTATACAGTTCTTCCAAGACATCTAGTTGGTTGTAAAACTAGGCTATATCAGCCGAGAATGGATCGGTCAACAAAGAATGTTTGTGGTGAGACATTTGGCGGACATGTTTTGGCGATATCCGCCTTTCGCGGAACATATAGTTGATTGGTATTGAAAATATATGTTGTAGTATTGTATTGCATTCATCCTTTATACTCTATATCTATTATCTATATTTATCCATTTAGAGACTACTACGATACTCGACTGTCTAGTTTATATGCCCCTCTTTCTACCCTCCTATAAAACTATAATATTAATACAGCTAGTAATAATAATTATCTACCCCTATATAAATAAGCATATAATATACGCTGTGTATATATTCACTATATTTCTATCATTAAATTGGAAAATGGTTATAAATTAGGAAAATTTATAAATTCTGTGCAAGTCAATTAAATGGTAATAGAAAACGTTAAGTAAAACTGTAATTTACCTTACAGCTATACGATATAAGAATTTGTAGCTTATAATATTATAAGTCGTAAAAATCGAATAAAAAGCTCATATAAAATATGTAGGGCAGCTAAAACCGTGAAACACCCACATACAATGCTGCCGTATTCTATTATTCATTTACTTTCAAATCGATTTCTACCCAATATATGTATAGTTTTAAATTCGATCTTGCTACTTTTTCATTTCGTGTCCTAGAAATTATTTATGCAAATAAGGTAAGATGTCTTTGAATTGTTATAAAAGCTTTTACATGTTCAAATGTCAAGTGAGATTATTCCTTTTTCTTTGTCTGTTGTTGTTATTATGGTGAAAAATGGAAATTTTCCAAAATTCGTCTATTACTCCATTCGAGTGGGATTAGCTACAATGAATTGACAGTATTTTATTTTGTCGCCGAATCTAAATGAAGAGAGCGAAGAAAATCAGACAACTCCCCAAACGATTCAAATCTCGTTATCCTAACCCCCAAAACTCTCGTCCACTAGCCGGTCACGCCCACTAAGAAAAAGGGAAAACATGGGGCGGCTGTCGATCTATTTATCTATAACGAGTAAAAGGACGCCCGCCCTACAATTAGTTACAGGAATAACGACTAAAATGTAAAAATCTAGATAACGGTTCGACTTTTTACTATACAATTCATATGAAGGGGAGACGTTCTCTTCTCTACACTCAATTTGAAAGATAAAAGATCAAACGCTTAAATAAATGGACAAAACAGTAAAAATAACCTGAAAAATCCTATCTGATTGTAAAAGGGCAGACAAGGCTAATTAATTAAAATGATTAATATGAAGGGTAGCAACCCCAAAATTAACGCGATCTACAATCGAATTAAAATCCATTTAAAATCGCTTAAATGAAAACACCGACAAGGTGGATAGGAATATGTTTAGTTCGCCGCCTAATTTACATTTCAATGGTCAACTTTCGGCTATACTTTTTTTCTTCAAAGACATGAATTTAAAATTTATTTGAATAGTTTAAAATGGCGGACCACGCTTCAAAAATTGTTCTAGTATGGCTTATCTCGGTTTTATCAGGTCCTAATCCGACAAATAGGTGTGTCGGTCCTTCTAGTACAAAGTTCTGACGTCATCAGCTGACTAGATTAGGTAATTAGATCAATATTGACTGTCAAAATGGCGAATTGGTGGAGAAAACTAAGTGTAAAGGCGAAAACCCTCTCCTATTTGCATTTTGAGCTAAAAACCAAAAAGTTAACAAATCTATCTATTCCTTCTATCTCTTAAATATGTCACACTTTAGAAAGCTCGTCTTTCTCTCTCTCTCTCTCTGTCTCTCTCGCTCTCTCCTTCTCTATTTCCAAAAGAGTATTTTGTTCAATTTAGTGTCAAATGAATATACTTAGGTAGGGAATCTATTGTTGAACAAGACAAATCTCCCTAACATGCACAGATCGTGTTAGATGATACTTTGTCCAACAACAAACTTTTCTACCATTGATAAAGTAAAAGTTTTTAACACATTGGTAAAACATTGTAAACCTTTCTTTCTTTTGTATATTCCCACTTCTATCCTATTTTTTTTTCTACGAAATAACTACCAAGTAGTGAAAAAAGAGAAAAAAAAACACAACAACAACGATAATAAAAAGTAGGTCATGTAGGAAAAATAATTTTTTTTCAACTATTAAAAAGTTATGTTGTGCATCTTTTCAATTGTCATAAAATAATAATGGAAGTATAAATTTTCAATACGTTTTATATGATTGTTTAACTAATTAGTATATTGCGTAGCAATAAAAATTTTACCCGTTAAAAATCATTTTAAGAAGAAGGGCTGAATTAATTGTATATTGACCTTGTTTCATTTTATTGGCCCTATGAACAGTAATACCTAATTCAATTTTCTTTAATTTTGTGTTTTTGTGCACGTCTGCATGTGTTTTATTGTTATTATTAAATCAACCGGAAAAGGGTAGAACAACAGTTGGAAAAAAGAATTGAGGTATTTAAAACATGTCCAACCGAGATAAACGCGTGATCTCCAAAGGTTTACGGCACCTACTGAAGGCAATTAGTAAGTAGCTTTGATATTTTGACTCGCGATGCGATTAATTAGATCGGTTTCCTTTTAGGCTTTGATCTTTTCTTTGAAACTTAACATATATAATGTTCACGCTTTATGTTTAATTATTTTAATATTCATCAGACGAAATTCTTTAAAGGAGAAGGAAAATCGGTGAAAGCGTCCCTTTTCTCTCCCACCCAAGCTTTGGTCCATACAGAAGGCGGCTATTCGGACCATTTATCATATATTCTACTTTTGTTAAAAAGGCAAGAAAGGGATCTACTGTTAGAGGAGCAGTAGAATCAACCTCATAAAGTCGTTTCTTTCTCTCAGAGAGGCTTTCATCTTGTTTGATCGCCATTCAAATCTATCATTATTTTACAAGGTTCTCGTTTTTTTCTAACTCTACATAAAATCACCGGAACTTTAACGAGCATTGATGTAAAAAGAAAACAAGGCTATTATGCAAATTAGCCGCGTTTCAAGTACACTACCGCCTATTTTACGCCCATTACCGCCTTTTTCAATGTCATCTTTTTAAAATAAGTGTCCCTCGGAGAGTTGTTTTGTCAACACAAACCATTTTTTAACCCTTAACCCGTGGACAAGAACATCTCCATAACTCTCATCAATATTCATAAACCACAGATATGGCCGCCGTTTTTATGACTTAGGTCAAATATTTTCGGGGCCAGATCAATAGACGCTTTGTGCGCCTGCCAACACCTAGAATGCGGTCGTAAAAAAACCCAAGACTCTAAAATATGCAAATTAGAGAACTGACCTTGCTGTGGAGCCTGAGGATAAGTTTGCTTCTTAATCCATTGATAGGCTTGCTGATTTTGTCCAGATGTTTCTTGTTTTATTCTTACATCTTCGTGAGGAATAAAGTTCTGCTGAGGAACATCTACCGGAAGGGGGGTCTGAAGGTGGCAATCCTGTCTATACTGGGAATACGGCAAATACGGAGAATTCCATTCGGGACTTATGGTTTCAGGAGGTTGAGTAGGCCATTGCGCTTCCGCTGGATAGTAGTCGGATCCATGATATTGCGCTGTTGTATAAGTTGGCGCGTAGGATTGCGCAGAAGGTGCAGATGAACAGAATGTTGGTCGCGTTTGATACATATCTATAACTGAAACCATTTTACGGCAAAATACATGACCGAATGCCAGACTCAGCGCATTGCTTCTCGATGTTGATTCGGCCGCCAGGCTCCGCCCACATCGACCAATCAGCGTCGATTTGTAGGCTTACTTGATTCGGCTGCAAATTTAGAAATTTATGATGAATTATATATGTCTCTCAGTCGACATAATCAAAATGGTGGATGTATATGCAGATAATAGATATTACATGAGCGATTTCTTTATGACCTAAATATGGCCCAATTAAGGCGCTATAAATGCACAATAGAAATGTTCTATTTCATTGTAAATTCTTTGAGAATGATTAGTATATTGTTTTATGGACGATTTTGGCGAATATATAAGTTTCAGTGCTAGGTTTATTCGTCATTTTTCCGGCTACAGTTAACAGGATTATTTTTTCGTTCAGCCATTTAATTTCAATTAGGAGAGAAACGCTCAAAAATGCCAGTGGATAAATCTCCGCAGAGAACCTTATCCAGGTACACGAAAAATTCATAAAATAGAAAAATGTAGTTCAAGTGATAATACGAGATTAAATTTGTATATATCTGAAAGAGAAAGAGAGAGAGAGAGAGAGAGAGATAAAGGTAGGAAGAGAAAATAAGAAAAGATAGAGAAAATAAAGATGAAGAATGATATATATATATATATATATATATAAAGAGACAGGAACATAGCGAGAAAGAGAGAGAGAGAGAGAGATAGACAAACAAAATAATTTCATATCAACATTGCTTGTATTTATAGGCTAAAAGTTATCATGTTAAAATGCTTATAATAAATATGACATTTTCGCGAAAAAAAAGAGAGGAATAAACGAAACAACTGAGCTTTTAGTATTTGTTCAATAAAAGGTAGAAAAACTGGTAAAAATTTAGGCCGTTTTAATAAAGAATAAAGAATCTGTTCAAACACATTTACTTGTGTTTTACTTTTTATTCCTCTTTCGCTTTATCATTGATTAAATCTTGTCGATGTATTATCTCATAAACCTTTTAGAAGGGATAGCTTATAATAGGAAGGTGAGAAAGAGAAATAGTTGCCATACTATACGCTTTTAATGGATTGTTGCTTGAATATTTGAAAGAACAACTGCAAAGATTTAACGGATTTCTTATTGAGCTTAATTTGATAACAAAAAAAGTGAAAGATAATGAATTTAACAAAGTAAACGAACTTTAATCTATAGAAAATTGACAATTGAATCGTTCTGTATTATTTTTTCATAAGATCTGCTTCAAAATGGCGATTTATTCTGTAGTTCTTAAATGTTATTCATACTTTTTATTTTATTATGAAGTTTATTGATTGTTATGTGCACTACTTGTTCCATACGTTCATAAAGATATATGACTTTTTAATAAATATTGAATAAATATATACGAATAAATATGTCGGATCTTAACAGTTGCGCAATAATTATATGAAAGAAAGTTTCTATTCGTAAAATTATACATAAAAAGCTTTCAATGTTTATTCAATAAATGTCAGATATTCTTTGTTATATCACCACACTCGTGTATAGTATAAGGTTAGAATGTTTCTTGTATATACACTGTTATCTATAACATTAATTAATTATCAAGCTAATTCGATAAGCCGAATTTATCTAAATGACAACTCGACTAGTCATAGTTCACGCCATTTCGTTAAAGTTTGCCAATTATTGATTAATATAAAATTATATGAAAGGATCGAACATTTTTAATCAAATGACCTTTGACCTACGAGAATAACTATAACAGCAACCGTTGTTAGACGTTGAAAAAGTCAAAACTCAAAGCCTTCACGCGCCATTAAAAGTCTTTGAAGTGCGCCGCTTGACAAACGAATCGTTCTGTATTTTGCCGGAAATTGAACTGGAATTTGTTTACGATGTGAAGAAAAAGGTCTTTACAAACATTTTGAAAGAAATTTTTTTGTCGGCCTATGCTCATGGGATAGCGAACGCGTTCGTTACATCACACATGACGTCATCGGCGCTTTATGGCCAAGAGACGGCAGGTGGAAATGTTTCAAACGTGTTGACCTACTTTCCCCGTTGATCAGATGGGAATTCTGACTCAAGATCAAGTCACGTGTCTTACTTTAATTGAAATTGACTTAATTTGTTTAGGGCTTGCTGTCTGACGGTATTGACCGTTTCTTTTTCCCATTGACCCGGCCAAGTATCTTTTACAAAATTCGTCACTTTCTAATTTTCTCTTAGAAGCCCTTCTCTTCAATTCTTTTTGATCAGGCAGTTTGAATGCTTAATGGAACGAGTTAGAGTAACTTTTTACCTTACGGGGGATGTACTTTTTAACACCCTTAAATCTAACTTACAATTTTGGAAAGGGAAAAAAAAAATAGGCGGAAAAGTTTACCTTAAGTATAGGTCCCCACCCCGCCTAATTGATGGTTGTTTATCTAAGAAATGAAGGCGGAAGAAACAGAAAACATCTCTGTTATTAAACGAAAGGAAACATTTAATTAAGGAGTTGGAACTCGATAAAGATTGTCATCTTTGAATGAGCGGTAAATCAAAAAAAAGAAGAAGCAAAATTCATCAAGATAATTCTTAATAAGGGCATTCTCTTCGCGTGCAACTGTCGCTAAAATTGTTACCTTTATTTCGTATACTCTTTTCCCCTACTATGAGATAACGGTCGATTTTAATTTATTCATATCTATTATAATTATGCGTCATACATTGGATAAAAACCACTACACCCGTGAAGTCGATTCAACATACTCAATTAATTATTAATCGTTTCTTTCCTTTTCCTCTTCGATTTTACTGTTTTCTTATTTGAATTAATTAAAAGAGAAAAAGAAATAAAAGGAAAAAGAATAAATTGAAAATGAATTGAAATGGCAAAAAGAGCAGATTGAATTTTTATTCTTCACTTTGAAAAGGAAAAAAGTGTAAAATTTAACAGAATATTTAAACGTTTAAGGAAAATTAAAACATTTAGAAAATCGCTGTTTATTTTATTAAGACGTTTTTCTCGTAGCATAAAAGGGAACGATATGAAAAGGAAAAGAGCGTAAAATTCAATTTGTCTATAATAAATCGGAGAAAACATCTGCACAACAATTAAGTAATGAAACTTTCTTTCACCTGGCCAACAATAGCAAATAAATAAAGCTTGAGGCGCATTTAACGCCAACTTTTATTTGATCTTTATTGATATTTACACATATTATTTTCAATATATTCCGGAAAATATATTAAATACAGCATAAGCATAACTCTTATTCAACTTACAGCCTTCTTGCAGTTTTCTTAATCGATCTCACTCTCTCTCTCTCTCTCTCCATAGTTTTTTCTTTAGTATTTACTACTCTTTCAATCATTTTCCAATTCCTTTTCTTCCGCATCTTCTTCTTTTGTCGGTCTTCTTCCCTACCGTGGAATAACCTAAATATCTTAACTAGGTCAAGGAGAATTTTCTTTCATTTTTCCTCTCCTAATTACATTATATTTTCATATAATTTTTCAACTCTTATCAGAGCTTTGCTTATCTCTATCAGGATGTGACGTCATAATCCCTCAATCTAGGGATATGTGGTAAAAAATAATGTTTTAATCAGAGCGAGTTTATTGGATATAAATTGTTATTGAATTCTCCTGAAACGAGTCGAATAGGAGTTGTTCTTTTCTTTAAAGAATTTTAGAAAGGGCTTAGAGAGGGCGTAAAGGAGAAAAGTAACAAGATTAAAAAATTCGGGGATAGGTGCGCTTTTGATCAATAAAAATAACAAACAATTTTCAAATACATTTCAGTATAATAAATAGGAAAATAGGGGTGAAGAGGTGGGAATGGAAAGAGAGAGATAGAGAGAGAGAGAGAGAGAGAGAAAAACCTTAAATATATAATATATGTAAAAAGATCTAAAAATAGAATGATGTTAAAGTTATTAAAAAATAAATGAGTGAACGAATGAACGAACAAATGGGATGAAGTAAGGAGAAATGTAACTGTCTATGCATGAAGGTTTTTTATTTTTTTTTCATAAATTCTTCAGAGGCGAAAACAGTTAAGTACTAAACATTTAGCTTAAAGGTTGATATTCCTAAATTAAGTACATGTTTACTTAACCATACCGAAGCATATACACATTAAAGTCCCGCTTGACCTTTTTATCAGAAATATTACACATTGCCAACTTGTTAACACCATTCCTTCGTCTTTTGAAACTTAGTCAAGTCAACTAAGTGCAGTGTCCGCTTACACCTTACTGTTACTTGTTAACTTTGATACAATAAGTCGTTTAGTAAAGACCGCCGCCTCACCGCCGCCAAGGCTACTACTACCACCACCCTCTCTTCATTTCCTTATTTATTTAATAAAAAAAAAACACTACAAAGAGGAGAAACTATCCAAGCGGCTTTTTTTTCCTCTCTTATAGATAAGCAGCATTCAGGTCTATGCGTCTTTAACGTGGTTCTTATTTATTTGCGCATAGCATGAATATTAAAACACTCTTGACATAAATTTATCAAGAAGCATCAAAACGTACAACATAAAAATTTTGGTAAATATCATCATTTTACGAATTGAATGCGAAATGATTCGCAGGTGGGTGCCTGTGAGAAAAAAGATGAAAGTTGAACAGACGGGGCGAATGTAAAAGTGAATAAAAAAAAAGGTTAAAAAGAAAGAGAGAGAGAAAGAAAGAAAAAGAGAGAATGAGAGAGAATATAGGAATTTTATGGATTTATGGTGTTAAGATCATGATGTTTGATAACTGAGATATCAATTCGTCAGTCTCGTCACGTTATGCATTCTTTCTTTTTTTTGGTTGAAATTTTCAATTTATAGTCGTAATCAGATTTCATTTATTACACACAAATTTATTCATCCTATGTTGGAAACAAACCCAATTAAGCCATCAATCCGCAATTTCTTGCTACAGTTGAATAAAAAACTCGGTTGGTATTAAAGAGAAAGGGGTAATAAACGGTGATAATAATATTAATAATAATAAATAATTCGTTTCATTTGGTAATTGGTTCTTATCAGTTGAAAAAAAGAAGGAAAAAGTAATAATAATGGAATATATTTGGTAGAGAGAAAAAAAGAGAAAAGGATAGAGGGAGGGAGGGAGAAGGAAAGATTAAAAAAACACTCTCAATTTTAACGCAAAAGTCTTAGATAATAAGAAGTCATTTATAAATAATAATAGCGTAATTAGGCATAAAAATGTCAAAATTTTATGATTAACGCCTTGTAAAGGGTTACGGTTAGTGGTGGCATATCGTCATGCCCAATCAATATAGGACTGACGTTGCGAAAGCCCGTACCGTAATCAATATAGTCAAGATGTTCATTTAAATAAATAAAAAACAAGTACTTTTCTAATAGCCTAATTACTTTTTGAATAATACTTAAAAATACTTTGGTCACGAAATACTGAAGTTTAAAAACCAGAAAGTATAAAAAAGTACCTTTTTTTTAAAAAAAAAACAAAAAAATACTATAAATTCCTAATTTCTATTAGAAATTAAGATAAAAGCAAAAAAAATATGGTTATGCTAAAATGGCCTTTTGTCCTTTTTAATTGACTATTTATTATTATTTGTTAATATACCTTTGAATATTTTTTGATTTAATAAATAGGCATAAAACAATTTATTGCATGATATGTATATATATATATATATATATACTGTTATTCGTTGAAATACAATGGAAGGGAAGATGTAGACTAGGCAATTGTATTGCAAAAAAAACGTCAAGTGAATATTTGGAACATGCTACAAAGTCGCAAAAAAAAAAAAAAAACGACGAAAGCAAATAAGCAACGAAACGAAACGTGTTCGCACAAGATTCTCTCAATATTTTACGACCCTCCGCCGGTTTTTACGACCCACTCGAACCGGATCACGTGATCGACAGAAGAGAGAAAGATAAGAATGATAAATAGACGGCAAGATAAGGTTTGTATAACTAAAAACAAATTTGTAAGCATGGACCTGTATATATATATATATATACAGAATTGTATCAATTTCATATATATATATATATATATATATATATATAAATATACTAATATATACATACATATGTATAGTATGTAAAGTATTTACTATATAATTTTTAAGGGTATAAACAATGTAATACACTCTGCAATAGACTATATGCAGTATTTTTTACATAATAATCTTTTACGACTTGAAGAAATGTACACTGTATTTATATAATTATTGATTACGGTATAATTAAATAACACATGTAAATGTATATATTGCAAATTTATTAAACAATAAAGGCAGCCTCATTTGCATATTTATAAATGGCAAACGAATATATAAATATAAAGTATATATATATTGTAATATATTTATTTATATTCGGTCTTTAAGGAATTATTGTTTGTAATAATAAGTAATCTAATTTTATGAAGTTAGAGCTCTAAATGACTATAGACTAATTAGTTTAGTCGTTTAGTCGTTATTACGGTTGTAAACGAATTTTATTACGTAGGCGGAGCGAGAAAATTGCTGAAATCTTGTCGGAAATCGGCTGTAAAACGTTGGTATTCAATTAAGGGCGTTTAATGAGGAATTTCTGTTGAGTTTTATGACTTTTCTTCACAAAAAATAAATAAAAATTTTGCCTCCTTTTCTCTCTTTGCTGAACGAAAATATTCATGAGCGTTTCTTCGACGCCATTGAAGACTTTTCCCACCACCCCCGCTCTCCTATCAAATGAATGAATCAATCAGTTTCTGACTATACCCTGATAAATGGCTATTATCTAAAACGGTCTGCGTTACCGGCTTAACAGACCTCCATTTAGATAATCTGTTTGCTTTCCTTACAATTGGATCAATCTCGTCTTTTTCATCTGGTATCGGGTAAATAATATAAGTTTCCTATTTAGCTAAGGGCCGCTTTCTTTATCAAATTTACTCTCTACACTTGAAATTATAAGATAATTAATATGGTATTTTTAAAAGTTTCCCTTCTCATTTTCAACTACTTTTTTATTTTATCTTCAAGGTCTATCTCAGCTAATTTTCTCATCTACTCTATACAACGTCCGACCAGAGATTTAGAAGACGGTGATTTAATTATAGGACATTTGAGAGTGGCTCTTATTAAGGGACCTTTAAAATTTGAATAAAGGTATGCTGTTTGTTTTTGAGTGCACTTTTCTCTAGTGTTTTCTTTTTTTGGGTCATGTATGATTTATAATAATTTCAACTGAAATGGGTTATAAATTAAAGAAAACCTCAACCAATACAATTGATATTTCGTCCGAATTCTATTTTGAATCGGACATATACAGTATATGTTTTTTTTTAGAGGCGGGGGGTAATGTTGGCTTTGGGGTTTTATCGTTTTGGGCTGTTTCAGGCCAGAGGGTAAGGCTACTCGGGTCATAAAAGATTACCCAAAAATTTGCCCATTAAGGGCAATTGAAAAGTAGAAAGGAAAAAAAAACTTTGAATTTATGACCGTTTTGAATTTATTTAATTTAGACGCCTGAAAAACGCCGTAGGTGCTACAACTTTTACAACGTCTACGTTCTTTAAAATCAAATAATTTTACCAATACAAGAACAGGGCAATATCGATCATAGACCTCACCCGTAATAAAATAATAAAATAAGAGAAAGAAAATTTTTTACCTCTGCCGCCAGTTCAAATGTCCGCTCGCGTAGCTTAGGCGTCACCATGAGAAATTTGCGTGACCGGATGCGATCATGCAATATGAAGTGACTGTAAAAATATCGATCGATTTCAGCAAATTTCTCTTCTTAGTTGTGTTTAATTCAATACCATCCATTTGATGTTCGTATATTTGAAAAAGCCTCTTCCTCTTCCTTTTTCTTTTACTTTCTATCCAGATAAACACCCTATCTTTAACTCGCAACTCTCCGTCGACTATACAATTACAAGAGACGCTTTTAAAAGTAATAGGCTAGGAACGGATTTTTTTTAATTAAATGGCATAACACTGAGAAAAAAGGTTGTATAGATTACCTGGGGATGCTTTGAATAATAAATTATTTTTATCAGTCTGGTAACAAGGCTAAATAGTTTCAAATACATATAATATTCTATTTATAATAATTATTAAGTATTATAAATGGGGTATTTAAAGAAATGAGACAATTATTATTCAATTATTGCATATCTAGTATTTAGTTTTTATTCAATAAAATAAATATGGCACAAAGACAGTTTAAAGATGAAACATACATCTATATTTTCGCTCTCTTTCCTATTTACATGTTCATCTTCTATTAAACTTATTCACAGTGTTAAATATTTCCAATAGAATATAAACACAAAGAACAAATAATAGGCAAGTATTTAAACAGTTAAAATGTATAGAATATAGAACATGTATAAATGCATGTAGATGTGAAAATGCTATCGTTGTATGTTTTGCATACATAATTACAGAGAGTAAGAAGCATATGACTTTTTAAGTTTCATCCTATCAGCTTTTTTTAACCTTTAAAGAGTAGCAAGTTATTTAGTTTTTTGACTAGATAAGGACTAATTTAATTTACAGTAAAAATATAACATTTCTGCAGTGAATTCCAGTTTTAAAAGAAAAGGCAAAGAGGACAAAAGATAGAAATGTTATTAATTGAAAGTTAGATACATGTTATAACGGCTTTCTCTAACCGGAAGTTGAAAGAAAAGTCATGTTTGCGGCCTCCAACCTCTAATAAATCTTATCAGAGTTGCAGCCTGTAAAGGTGACAACTCGAAAATTGTTTGAAGCACTTTAATATCGTCTAATGAAAGAAGGGCAGCGCCATCTATCTTTCGTCTTTTGAACTGATCAAAGTCTACATTTAGAAGTTTCAGACAATCAATAACCCCACCAGCGGACAATTCACTTAGGTCATTCGGTATGGTTTCAATGGTTAATACTGATGTCTCTTGGATAATATCCGGTATAACGTCAACAACATCGGCAGCCGATTCGACCCTTTCTGAATAGTCTCTAGGTGGTAAGGTGGGGACGGAAGGATTTGTCTTTTCAAACTCCGATATATTGTAATATTCTTGAGGCTTCCAATTCGTGTAGTCGTTCAAGCTTGAATAAATTAAATAATTATCACTTCTCTCCGAATCTTCACTCTCGTTGTGAAGAAAGATATCTGAAAGATGCAGCAAACTCAAATGATCAAGTCACGTAATTAATTATATAGTACCCTCAAAATTATCAGCCTGTTTAATGACAAATCTCCTGATTGTTCTGATATACATTAGTTGGTATTCATGCCATTCTTCCGGTGTTGCTCCCCTCATCCCCTCAGCAACATAGAACTGGATTGGTAGAAAAATTGGAATAACGACTATCCTGGTTTGGTCTACCCAGGCCTCTTCAATCAGGCATCCCTTTAAAAATTTCTCCCTTTTCACATACTTCAAAAGCAAACTTTTTCCGTGCAACAGCATTCGACTTTCGCTAATCATAGACGAATTTATACGAGCTGCAATGGGAGTTTTATTCTCATGAAGGCTATCGACCAAATCCGCTATCGTTGTCGATGTTCCATCCTCTAACGATATAGGCAAAGCAGAACTTTTCGGCAAGCTAATCAGGTTGCCCATTTCGTCTTGTGCGTATATTCTATCTTGTTCCGTACTCGTTACAATTTGCATAATCTAAAAAGAAGAATAGTTAATTGCTAAGCCGATAGATGGAACGCCTTTATCACATTATAAAACACCTTTTTATGGCCGATGAATAAATTATTGTTAACAAACTTTGAAAAAACAAACATAAAGTCAATTCAAAATGAATAGCAAACAATATCTACTGAAGACAAACAAACTTTTCTGTATAGTTGAAGAGAACGCCATCTATGATATATCCCAAGAACTTGATAGAAAAGAGAGATAGGAAAGAGACAGATAGACAGGCAGACAGATACAGAAAGAGAGAGAGAGAGAGAGAGAGAGGATTTTAAAACAATATAAGATTTCTTCTACTTAACGTATAATATTCTAAATTTCAATGAACATACGTTAAAAATTAGGACAATACTACAAGTAAAATGTTTACTTTGTAAAATGAATAAAGTTCTAAAAGAATTAATTTGAAGACAAACAAAACAAACAAAGAAAACACCTTTTAAAATTCGATTCGAAAATTTACCAAGCTTTTTGTGTGAACAATTACCATAGAAATTCAATTCTTCTTTATCTAAATTGACGTTAAAGTCTTTACAAACTCTATAAACAACATATACTAGTACTTAACTTTTTGACAAACAATAACTTTAACAATAATTTTACTCAAATTTCGATATATTCTGTAGAAATTATAGTATTTGATAAACAGGCCTAGATAGTTTGCTATTAAGGATGTAGATAAGAATTGAAAGCGTGCACATTTTTATGGGGAATATCAGACAAACAATTTACTCCATACAGTATATACAATATTATATTTATAATACAGCGTATGGAAATTTCGGTAATAGACTGTATTTGATTGCATTAAAAAAGATAGCTACTGATTGAATAGAGAGGAGAGTGAGAGAAGAAGATTTGCTTACAAGTTTTTAATAATAGACTTATTTATTGAGTGGGGCGAGTTGTATCTCTCCCCCCCCCCTCCCCCTATGGGGGAAGGAAAATAATCTAATTTTGAAGGTGACGACCAGTGCATGTTGTTTGATTATGATAAAAATTCTTAAGAAACTATGACTCACCTGACCGGGAGGGAATCCATTCGGATTACAATCATCAGATACTTTAACTATAGCCGATAGTTTACCTCTTTCTATAAGATCTTTTGCAGTAAATGTTAAATCTGACCATTCGATGGAATCCATGCTGTAGACAAATTCGTCCTTCGCCTTGGTTTTGCCTTCTATAACTTTTCTCGTCTTTGGCTTTTTTACTCTATCTCTTCCCGCTCCGTTTGCTATCCATTTAGTCTCGTTCCGCTTTAAGCCTGGAGATTGAGATTCCATTACATTAGAAAATCCAACATTGTCATAAACGAAATTTTTAGACATTTTCCCTTACTAAGGCAAGGGCGTTGAAATTGCCTATTGATTTTTTCAATACTGAACTTTTTTGGCCTTTTTATACACTTTTGTTATTAAATAAAGGGAATTTTTTAAGTTTAATATTGAATTTTTTGTCAACATATAATAGTAGGGTAACTATAAACATCTTCTTGTAGTCTATCAATATTACGCAATATACGGATAAAAAATATAAGAGAAAACAATGCGAAATTCTTTAACAGTTTGCAAATTCTTTTGATATTTCGCTGTGAATTTGTCTTTTCCTATCGATAAATGTCGGCGCAGTGGAAAAGATTTGGAGAAATCTTAAAAGACTACTTGAAAACGACTATAAATAATTTCTATCGTCTTTGATATGAATAAATGTTAATAATTATGAAAATATTAATTAAAAACTTACTTGGTTAGGATAAAAACGGCTGTTTGTCAGCAATAAAATAATCAAATACGGGAAATTGCAGTTTTATTTACTATCGAGATATATTGATCCTATTTTACGTATATTTCCTTACTTTCTATAATACGCCAAAAATATTTATATTATACTATCGATATTAGCGCCACCTTGTATCTGAAGGAGTTCCCCCCTCCCCCCACCCCCCCTATTATTTCAAATTAGAATCATGATTCTTTCCTTTGCAGTCAAACTTGTAAACAAGTTCGCTCTGAGGAAATTATCTAAAATCGAATAAGTTAGGAATTTAAAATATTTTCTACAAGGGGTGGCATAGTCTCTCTCTCTCTCTCTATCTTTCTTCTTATTGAATACTTAGAAGAGCGACACCTGTCGTTTGTAGATTAAATGAACAAGAAAGAGTCAAGTCGAATGTATATCTTTAGATGACTTTTTACTTTATAATTTTTTTTAAAAGTAAGAAGAGAGAGAGAGAAAGAAAAAAAAAGAGAGAGAGATGGAAGAAGAAGATAGAGGTTAATTTAGTTTCCTATGTCTTTTATTTTTAAATTATCTATACGAAATTACCAAAAGGAATTTCCCGTTTTTTATCGGGAGAAAAAAATCATGGAATATAGAAAAGAATGTTGCCTCCCAAATCGAATTTCCTCTAAATGCTGTTGATATATAAAAGAGAGTGGCTTACATCCATTTCCTAAAGAGCGAAAGAGGAAAAGAGGAAGAGGAAGAGGGGCAAAAAGGAGAGGGGATAGAAAGAGTGATTGATTTTGGCTCCATCTGGCGATAAATATTCTTCCGAATAGAATGCCAGAAGTTTTTAACGTTGCATTTATCATAATTAAGCAGAGAACGACGGAAACGCTTGATTTAATTACTTTAGGTAAACAATTAAAAACGAATTAGTAGAAGGGAAATGAATGACAATTCCACTGCAATTTCAACACTAAATACAGAAAATGTTTTGACGAATTATAATACATTTCATACATAGACGACACCTATCGTTGGAACGTATTAACTTTTATTTTGGTTTTCAAAGGCGTTTGATAGACACTCTATCTCCTTGATTGGAAGAGGAAAAAAGTATTCTAACGATAAAAAGTATATATTTCTATATATATATATATATATATATATTTATGTATATATATATATAGATATATATTTATATATATATGTATATATATATAGATATATATATATAGATACATATGTATGTATCAATATACATATATGTTTATAAGAAAAAATAATTACCACTACTAATCCATAAAATCATGAGGAAATTTGGAAAATTATTTAAATATTCTTTCATAATATTTCTACATTTTGGTAAGTTTTAACTTTTTTCTTATTCTACTTAAATTAAGAAAACTAGTTAAGATAATTTTATGTTTAAGTTTGTTTTTTTAAAAAAAAAATAATCTTTTAAAATGTGATTTACATTAAAAGTGAGCTTTTACATCTATACTGTTTCTCTATCATGTATAATCTCTTTAAACAATATGTATGAGATATATATATATACAAATTTGATAAAGCTGTCTTTTTATACTCTTCACGAAAAATGTCACAAAAAATTTCTTAAAAAGGTCTTAAAGGGTAAAGGGAAAGATCTTTTCTTTTTTCCTTGTTTTATTCTATATTTCTATATTATCTCTTAATAAAAGGAGAAGGCGAATGGGAAAAATATTACATTATGAGTTGATTTTCTTAATTGAAATCCTACTGAATGAAAGATAAATCAATGTGATTGAACAATTTGGCTTTTAACTAATTGAAGGAATTAATTATATCTAAGCGTTTTAATTATTGTAATAAAATAATTGGAAAAGATTCGATAATAACTTCGAGTCAAAAGGGAAGTATGTTTGTATCTTGTTGGTGTTTTAAATAGCATTATCCCTATTTCCTTTCCGAATGGTAAATCATCATTATCATAAAAGATTTTTGGTCTTTTCATTAATTTTTCAACTGGTTTTTAAAAGGAGAAAAACCTCTTATACTTTTTTGATTATTTAATTATAGATTAGAATACAACACGTTAGATGTATAGGAGAAAAAAGAATAAAAGATGAAATATGTGAAAAACTTCTAGTAGGGACATATATATATTTTTATATTGTCAATTATTCTTGATAAAATCATTTCCTTTGATCGGGTAGGCGTAATGTCTGGTCTGGACAAGAGAACGCTTTAGTGCAGTAGTTTTTAATATGTTAGTATGTCAGCTTTTCCTATTTGAATTTAAGAGGAATTAGAATTTCTGTGTATTCGTCATTTCATGAGTTATCAAAGGTCTTAAAACCGAGAGACAAGATAAAACCTCTTGAATCAATTTTTTTAATAAGCTGTAAAAGTCTCCATGGTAGGGAGAGAAAAGCGCAAAAAGAGAATTTCTTTAGGTGACTTAGAAAGGCCAGATTATCTCTAAGCTTTTCCAATATATTTATATATATAGATATATATCTATCGATAATCAGTATTAGTAGGAAAATATGAAATAATAACAAGTTTGTCGTAGTAGGCGAGATAAGTAGAAATTAATGGCGTTAGATGGAATGGAAAAATTGACAAAGGCTAGCAAATCGCGTCATCTTGTCTAACAATGCATGGATGACAAATTACTTTCATTACATACTCTTCTAAATTTTCTCATTTTCTCTCCAACAAACCTTTAATTAGGTCGTTCCAAACCTTATAACTATATTAAGTGTTTTTTCCCTAGGCTTTAATTAGACCGACATAGGTGGATAGGCATATTTTACTTATCCGGATGAAGCGAGATTAAAGTTTTAAAATAAACTATAAAAAAAAAGAAAAAGAAATTTTTCCAAGTGACAAAGAAAGAAATAAAATAAGAGAAGAGAAAGAGAGAGAGAGAGAGGAAGAGAGGAAAAAAAAAACACACACACACACATACAAAACAAGAGAGAAAGAAAGGAAATATAGTAAGGAATAAAAAAAATTAAGGAAAAAGTTTCCAGATTTGCCTCAAGCTGCGAAGAATAAAGATAATTGATATTGAAATTTTTTAAGAGTAATCTGAATATGATTTCTTGGTTATATGGTATGAGATTGAAAAGCAATAAACCTCTATCGCTTAATCGATGATATAAAAATATATACTGTGTCTATTGTGAGCGTTTAGTATAAAAAATAATATTTAAATATACTGCCGATACTGTTTATAAATGCGCTAGGCCTATATACAGTATATATATATATTTATATATTACAAATAAAACCATTTTTCATTTATTACTCCCTTTCGAATTTCGCTGTTCTAGCTAACTTTTCAATTAGAAGGTTGATAGCTAAACAATACGCGTAAAGAAGAGATAGTTATAATTTTATTAATAGAATACATTATATAGGCTTAGTTATACAACGTACAGCGTATGATGATTTACGTCAAAGAACAAAGTTAGCGAGATCATAATCGGGGAAATTTACTGCAAAATGCCTGTTGAGTGGAAGTCGAGTTTGATAAATGAAGAGAACGACATATCCAATACTAAAACGAAAGGATTTATGAAATGAGCGAACTCAACTTGTGTCCCTTTTCTTTTGACGCATATAGAGTATGACTCCGTTGTTAGCTTATTAAGCTTACAATGTTTTATTATTATTAATAAATTAAAGTTAATTAACATCTAAATAATATTTATTATGTAGATAGGTAGAAGTCAAGGGGCGGAAATAAGGGGGAGGGGAGGTTGGTGTAGAGAGTTTTTGCGGACGAATATCGCTATGATCTTGTATTATTGCCGATTAAGTTGCCTATTTAATGAGATTGAACTGGAATTCATTGTATTTACGTAATAGTATACGAAAGCTAAGCTCAGTATTATGCTATTTATAATGAGTTAAATGGAGAATTTTTGGTATGAAATAATTAAGCCGTCGTCTCATCTCTATTTGCATATTGATGAGGATTCGTATAACCTTCAGTAGTAAAGAATCAACTTTTTATTATCGTTGAAAGGGTACTTGTTGGGAAACAGAAAAAACTCAGCGACTACTTTCCTTCCGTTTAGGCCTATAGCTTTTACTCACGGAAACGTTTCAATGTAGACGGACGGTGATGGATGAATGAGAAGGGTGTGGGGTAGAGAAAAAGAGAGAAAAAACGATCGTCAAGCGAGTAGGAGGGTTGGTAAGAGGAGGTTGTGTGGGAGGCTACGAACAAGGCGATAGGTCGGCGGAGGCGTTGACTATTACAAATCAGTAAACAAAAAAATTAAACAAATAAAAAATATATTCCAGGGAAATGTTCCTTGATTAAACCTAATCGAATCACGCCCTTCCTTTCCGCCCTCAAAAAATCTTCTCGCGTGACGCATTGCGATCGGCCTAATTGAAGTGACGTCTACTTAGGCCTATTTTGGACGATTTCGACACTCCTAGGATAATTTTCCAACTAAATGTCAACCTCGTCACCGAATTAGCGGGATGAGAAGGATATTTTAACAGTAGGAGAAAAAGCTAACCGGTCGGGTCGCCGCCGTAGTTACTCGCCGACGCTTGATTAATTGTAAATAATTCTATTAAATATTGAATTTGATATTTGATTCGAATTGATCTGATGAATAAACTGGATTAGAGACGCATAATCGGCCA